TTTTTTGTTTACTATGTAAAAATTCAATATACCACGTAGATCATATGAAAATTGATCTACATACACCCTACCCTTAATTGTTTTGTTATGATATAGTTTAAATAGTCAAGACAAGGCCTGTTATAGTTATATTTGTAGTCATGTTTAAGGGCCTGCCAATGGGATTCAATTATCATTGTAGTTCTTGCTATAGGAATGGCTTTTGGATAAAATGATCGGGCAAGAAATTTCTAATTTTTTTTTTCATACCAGTTTACCCATAAATAGGCCCAAAGGCTATTAAGATTTTTATGCTGGCAATATTGATAAACTTCTAAGACGCTTTGATAATATATTTCGTCGGAGGTAAGGAAAGTATTTATGTTAACTGATATTAAAGGTTGAATTAAAGAATGTCTTTTTATCATATTTTTAATGTCTTTCGCATTTTTTGCAAAACATATCGGACTTTGCTGTCCTGTAAGAAGCCAATTGGGATCAATAAAGGTAAATTGGTTATTGGTCTCTTTTGCTTTTTGAGCAGAATAATTAGATATTTTATGATTTTTTTCTTTTATTTTTCAATCAATGGCATGTTCAACGTGCCAAAAACATAGCTGAATTTTTACTTTTTTTTACCAGGCTTCCTCTATGGCTGTAATTTGACCCATATCTTTATCAAGAAGAATAAAAGAAGGTAAGATACCTTCTTCTCTAACAAGCCAAAAAAATTCAGTAAGCGCTTGGGTTCTATTATTAATATTATTTATAGGGTCTTGTAGACGATCTTCCGATGCGATGAATGTATCAAGATATAGATAAGAAAGTGGCATTCCAAATCCTCTGCAATTTATTATTAAGGCAAATAATTCAAATTTTTCTTTGTTAGTTTTAAAGGTAGAATCCAAAATTAGTTCACTAATATTTTCTTTTAAAATTATATTTATGAATAGTGTAATGAATCCAAGCGCTCTAACAAAGTCGTTTTCAATATAAAGAATTAATTTAAAACCCTCATTGACTAATTCCTGTCGTTCTATATAGTTTTTTGTTGAGATAACATGGTTTTTTACATTGGATACATATTGTCCAGCAGAAAATTTAGACACCCAATAATATACTTGATGATAAGTATGGATTGTTGGGTCTATAAGCTTTTTACTAGAAAGCCTTTTATAAATTTCGATTACACGAAAACCACAATTTAGATTTAGTTTAATCCAGGAAATTGCGTTATAAGGCAATTTAATTTTACTTTCACAGTAGGTTGGATGCTCGTGTGGTATTAAATGTGTAACTGATAATGTAACTTGTTTCAAGGGAATATTAATTTTTATTATAACATTTCCGCTACAAGGAAATCGATTAATGGCTGCCGTATCTCGCTAATTCTCTTAATAGATTGGCTATCAGAACATTTATGTTGGCGCTCAATCGTTTGTGAACAAATCAAATACGCAGTGGCACATCCGTAAAGTTGATTATTTTTTTTATTAATATAAAAATTTTTTAATTCCCAATAGTATCGAGACCCGGCCTCGATTAAGATTAGTATTGTGTTTATGATAAAACGAAAACTTTGCCCACCATCACCTTGACTACTATCATCATTCGGGCCAGTTTCATTTGATAATGTCTCTTCAATAAATTTATTGCTTAATTCAATTATAGCTGAAAACTCAACATGTTCATTGTTTGAAAAATGTGTAGATACAAGTTCTTCAAGGTCTTCTAGTTCGTAGATAAGGTCTTCATTGTCATCTTTAATCGTTGTTAATAGACCGGAGTCAAGGTTACTTTCAGGTTGTAAATAACTTGAATTATCTTCTTGCATTATATCTTTATTAATTGAACTTTTACTTGTTGAGTTTTGTTTCTTTTGTTCAGAACAGCGATTGCAGTTTGTGAATAGACCTTTTCTTGTACCATGAACCCTCATGAATTCTTGGATTGGTTTTAATACTCCACAATGTGAGCATTCTTTCATTTCATGAGAGTTTACTAAAATGCATTTTATAAAATTAAGATTAATTATTTAATATTAATAATTTATAGGTTAAATACAGGTCACTCTGCTTATATTGACATCTCAAAAAAATCAAGAAATTTTCCGATATATCCTAACTGGAGACATTTTCATATTAAGTTATAAGTTCAAATTTTTAAAAATATCATTATAGTCAGATGTCGGTATATCCAGATGTTAATATAACCAGAGTGATGTGTATTCATTTAAAACTAACCATCAATATTATTATTCGATTGATCCATTATGTTGTTTATAGATAAATGAGAAAAGTAAAAGTTTTTTTTGAATTGATACTATCACACCAAGCGAATCTTAAGAGATAAGTAGTTTAATTTGGTATTATTTGATATTATTAAATATTGTTTTTGAGACTCAAATTCTAACATCGTTAAAGGCCGAAATCGATTGCTTATATATATTTCACTTGAACATTAGTTTTTGTTATATAATATGACTCTGAATTCTTAATATTTAATACTAGAACTATTTATTAAACATTTTCCTATTCGATCATCTATATAATTATTAAATTGCAAGACAAAATAATAATGCATATTATTAGATAGGAAGCTTTACAAAACATTATTTAAAAACTTATAATTTAAAAGTATTATTTTTGAAAGCTGTTAATTTTTATAATACAGTAATCTTTATACGTTTACTAATAAATTCTATACGTATGCTGTTACATTTTTCAATTGATATATAATATTTTTTATGCGTCTGTGTTAACTTTATTTACTACAAGCATGTTACATTTTTTGATAAATTTAATGTGCTAAAAAGCTATTACAGTATTTTTTTTTCTACGTATTCGTTTTAAATGCATATCAATCATAATTATTTCTATATGCGTGTTTCGTTCATTATATATTTATCAAACATCGACTGTTCTTATACGTAATTAGCAATTGACAAACCTTTAAAACCTTACTTAATAAAGCTAGCATTAATAAAAATTTTTTTTGATAGATGTTAGTAAAGTACATATAAAACTTAAAGTTTGGTACTGTAGGTAATCGTATTCTTTAGCATGCTACTATCCTTTTTGACTTATAAATATTACTGAAACATAAAAATTATTGATGCGAATGATAATTTTTTTTTTTTTTTACATAACTATTAAGTTTATACTGTTATATATGTGCTATTTAGTTTATTTTTTTGTTAAGATAATTTATTTTACATTGAACGAAGCAGTTGGCTATAAATGTATTGATTCTTTTTTCATGTTGACTATTTACACACTTTCAAATTAAACCTTTTCAAACCCGTTAATCAAAAAATAAATGTTACAACATTTATATACGAATTTTTTTTTAATATTAAGTGTCATTTTTGTTACGTTTACTGAAGATTGATTTAGTTATCGGGGAATTTGTCTAATAAAGATTTCGACCAATGAAATCCGATTATTCATGATAATCATTACATGACTGCCGATTTCTTATAGCACCACTAACCCACTAGTTTAAAGCCTAGCACCTTACAAAATTACCCAATATATAACACGGATCAGTCTGAACAAAACAAAGTGAGACGGCAAAAACAAAAACACAAAATAAATCAAAAATGGCTATCTAAACCAGTCTTGGTTGACTAAGTAAAAGTGTCAGAAATACGATTTTACTATATATAAATACTCCCTATAACCCATCTCTGACCCTAACCCTAATATTAATTAAAAAATCAGAAAAATCAGAAAAATCGTAAGGTGCTAGGCTTTAAACGTCCCTATTTATAGTATATTCTCAGACTGTAGTAAGGTGATATAGATAAATTCATAATACCCGGAACTATTCTAACACATGTTAAATGAATATCTTTGTTACATGGGCGAATTATGGAAAATTATGTATTGATTCTGATTTATTTTTACTAAATGTTAACTATCCAAGAATTATCATTATTACATTCACATCTCCTATATATTTTATCTGCTACTTTTTTGCATGTTTTGCAATATAGATGTGAATGGTGATTGCATTCATCACAGACCTTATATCCGTGTTTCTAGCCTCTAAAGATATGCCACTTTTTGTAGTGATTTTGTCTTTTTTTATTTGTATATATATTGTTATAATTTTTTATCATTGTTGTATTAATAGAAAAATAATTATACGTGGCTAATTTTTTTATTATACAAACCTGCTCTGTCTTACAAACAAATTATAATCCCCATAAAGATAATTTATTTCATGAACACATTTAAAAATCGGATAATGGTAATAGATAACTTTATTAATTTTATATAAGTATATGAAGTATTAATACTATTACTATGTATCGATATCAATCCTGACCACTGGGTCAGGACATGTGACCTCACGTGATTGGCACAGTAAATTAGTTTTTTGTTTCAAAATGGTAAGTATAATATTATCAATATCCTCTTTTCTTAATTTTGAAATGGTCAATGCACTGAAAGATCTAACTCTTTGAATCTTATCCTCTCTGATATTAAGAAAGAGCTTATAAATTTTTCGTGATCTTTCTACTTTTTTCCACAATGTAGTATCCGTAATATTGGGAATTTGTTCTTTAACTTCTTCATTAACTAACAACAAAGAAGCATATGGAGGATTAGATTTCTTGTGATGCTCAAGCCGTTCTGATAGAGCTTTACCAAAAAGATAATAGTTGGTTATAACATCTTGATTTATAATTTCATTTTCAGTTTCTGCATGAGTTATATTATTGTACAAATCAACAAAATTATTTGCATTTTCTTTTTTAGTTACAAGAACTTGCGGAGTACTTGGTTCGGTAGATAATTCTTCTATAAGTTTCTTTAGTGTAAGTGATTCTTTTTTTATCTGCTTTGCTTTTTTGTTAGATGGTTTATCCGGAAATAATTTGGGATCATTAGTATGTTTTTTTGATGTATCACTCTGGGTAAACAGAGGGCTTTTAAACATCGTAGGTGACATTTTCATTAAATCGATATCCTGACTTCCAGGCATTTCGACCACAGATTCTATCTCCTTCATACAACCAGGTTTCAGGCATTTTGGACTAATTTTAATAAAACTTTCGATACAATCACAATGATATATATGGCCACAGATAAGTAAAGTAATCGGCTTTTTTATTTTATATAAAAAAAGTTCTTGGTTGTATAAAAAACATGGATCTAGTTCGGGTATATTAATATCATTTGCAATTTTTTCTGGAGATGAATTTTTAAGAACATTTAATACAAGTGTTTCGAGACATAAAATATTTTGAGGTATAGGGTTGGTAGCCATATTCAAATTTTTTATGATCGAAGGATTAGTATACATATTAAGGGTTATAGACAGATAAGTATTTGCAATTAATTATACACTTAGCTCGTTTTTATAATAAATACTTTCACAACTAAAAAATTTAATTTGCAGATTTCATAAACTAATTTCGGGTTTAGCGATCCATTCATTTACAAATTATTTAGTATGAGCTAGGAGAGTTAAAGACTCGATCTTCGCTGGCAATCGTGGATAAATAATTTAGCTTAAGAGTAGACCCAAAAGGTCATTGCTCTGCAATAAGTACGGTTAGTGAGTTGGTTAGTACCGAAATACTTCTATGCTGATCTCTGATTCATGGATTTAGGCTCTTCGAGCCATTTCTTTGAAATAAAACACATGACATCGCAGAAAAATAATATTTATTCTAAATTTTATTATGTATTAATATAATAAATAATAGCAAAGCTAGTACCAAAGTACATATTACGATATGATATTGACAATGAATAAAGCTATATTAGAAAATAATCATAAATCTCAAAATGGTAATAGTGTGTTATCTTGCATTATTAAACAAGTGTCAAATAAAAAAATTCAGATCTCTCTCCATCAATTACTAAAAATAGTAAAATCTGAGATTCAGCAAGATATTATAAACTCGATAGCAAACCCAGATATTTCTCAGAGAAATCGTACACTATCTGAGGCTAAAAGAAAAAAAACAATTTTCAACGATATTGCATCTAAGTCCTCGTCTGAATCTGAATCTGGGTCTGGCTCTGAATCCTTTTATGATAATGATGATTTTACTGTAGATATGGTAAAAGTGAAGAAGCGCAATTAATCTTGATCATAGATATGAAATCGTCTTGCTTGCTCATAAGGAACTCCTCTTTTTCTATAATTGACTACAACGTAATTTTGCACAGGAGAAGTATGATTATCAGATGAATGACGTAGACATTCTCCAGCAATTGTATAAGCGTGGGCCATATTCTTAGCCTCATGTGCTACTGCACCGTAAACTGCTCCTAATTTACATAAATATTTAGGAATTAAATCATAATCTTTTAAGAATTTATTGAACTATTTAACTCCTGGCTTACCTGGATCACCCATTCGTCCAGATGATATAGCATGCTGAATCCAAATAAGTAGTTTTTTGGCTCGTTCTTGATTCTTTTCCATTGATCTAAATTTTCTGGAAATATCTGGCTGACCTCGATTCTTCGCATATCCCATCACTTCAGCATTTGTAATGCATAAAGTTTTAAGTTCAGCAGGACGAATACAAAGCATCACCATAACATCAGAAAGAGCCTGACAATTAGGTAAAGTTTTAATATTATACGCATCTAATATTTCTTTGACTGATTCTAATGTAAATTCATCTGGATAATCAATACGTTTAGCTTCAGCTTTTTTTCGATTGACACTCTGGATTTTGTTGGCATCTTCTGTAATATCTGGAAATTTTGTAACCTCAATTATCTCAAGTGATGCATTAAGGTTCCTTAATTCTCTACGAAGACGAGTGAGACGTGATGAGCCAGCATTAGCATTTTTTGCTGATAGGGCTAAGGCATAAGCTTCAGCTCTTACATCTCTAATGCTAAGTTTATCTCGTAAAATCTGTTGTGGCATATCCCCAATTGTTTCTTCCTCCATTTCTTTAGAGAGTTAATTGGCGATTACAATATTTATATTTTTATCTGAGGTAGTTACATTGTGTCTACTTTCGTTTTTCAGGATTGTGAATAAGGCATTTACTTGATCTTCACTAAACCTATATCTATTTTGCAAGATTTGTTTTGCTTTCTCTCTGACGATCTCTTCTTCTAAACTTTTTGGGAGCTTGGTTATTGCTATTCTACAATTACCTTTAACCAAATTTATAGTTTTATTTTTCCCACTTCTCTGATTAGGTATCAATACACCTACCCATCTCAAAGACATCGTCGAGCTTGATTTCGCTTTCTATTATCAGTAAGCTTCTCAAGAAACTCAGAAGTATATTGACTAAGCTCAGATATATCTATCTTCAGAGTGAGTTTGTAATTTTCAATAATTTCTGTAGCAATAGCTAACATTATCTAATGCTATAGTAGGTTGAGTAGATTATATACACTATATAAAATATTTTTTCAAATCAAAATTAATTATGCTTTTTCTTCCTATACTCAGAGGCACGTAAGTGCCATTATTCCATAATAAAAGAGAGTTTATGTTTACCTATAGAGTAACCGCTATGTCGATTTGAAATTTATTATTATATGGGATATAATGAAAAAAATACAGCTCTAGAGATAGAGGTTCAGGTTATATTAAGGTTTATTATTCATTTTTCTATTATTTAGTACATCTATCCAAATAAATTCTGGCACAATTCAACAGTTATAAGATATTTGCGATATATGTCCGGTCTGTTTTGTAATATTTTGGGTAGTAGTATTACTGCCGGCTTCCATATATTAAATAAGAAGGCTGTGTGATCAGAACAACCATAATCAATATGTTCAGATATTTCTGAGTAATTTGATAAATCACTAACATGTCTATATGCATTGCAAATTAATTTATGGAATGTTGGTCCATTCAGATTTATCATCTAGTCAGTTAATAGGTTAAATACTTTTTTTGGAGTTTCTAATTCTTGATCGCTCATTTTGTTTACGGTATATATAGAGCATAAGAACATATTGTTTTTGTAATATTTTTATTGAAAATTTTTATATTATCTAGTTTGTAGAAGCAAAAAATCTCTCTATATCGAAGCTCCTACCTGCAAAATTCACCTATTTGCTCCTTATTTTATATACATATAGGATGCAAAGCATTTCCTGCTTCACAGACTTACTATAGCATACCATTTGCCTGGAGTATGCTCACTGTTTTTTTTCATTCCTCATCATTATCCAGCCATGATGAGGTGATTCCATCTTCCTCGAGAGAACAACGGATTATTTCTTCGCTTATTAGTCTTTCTCGCACTGTCATATCCATATATTCACTGGGGTCTTCTTCGGCCTCCTTTGCAAAACCACACATTCTCGCATCAGTCTGCATTCTGTCACAGAATGCGACAGAATCGAGCTTATCTTTTTCAGTAATAGTAACGAATTTGTCGGGATCTTCACCAAGTTCGATAGCTTTCTCACAAAGACGTACCTCTCGTTGCTCCCTGGTTTGATATCTGGGTGGGTATAATATCTGCTGGGATGATACTTCGTTACTGGTTTTTGGTTCATTGTTTACACATCAGCAAATTTATAAGACCGTAATATTTCGTAGTAATTTATGAAACATAAAATAGCCGTAATATTGCGTAAGAAATTTCGAAATATTGCAAAATATTAAAATTACGAAATATTACGTAATATATTTCGAAATTTCTTATGTAATATTATAGCAAAAATTTTCAGTTTTTGTATCACCAACTAATCCGAACACCACCAAAATTAGATAGAACACACAACTTTGTTTATCTTGTCGAATTACAATATATTTTATGGCTTTTTTTCCTTCTTGTTTAGTGTCTGCTAATCCACTGCTTTCAAGTCATTTTTTTGCCTCCTTTTATTGTCTTTATCAAAAGACAAAGAGCTTCGCTCTTTTTCATTTTGAGACATTGCTTTTTCTATGAAGTCAGGGACTTTATGTCAATAGTTAGAAGTTAATGATATGATTGCTTGTGTGCAAAGGAATGCAAAAGACAGAAACGTAAGGATCAAATTTTAAGTGATATTTGCAAGCAAAAAGAAAATGCTATAAAGTCTGAAGAACTTGAATATATAGTTTATAAGATTTTGATTTAATAACTGTGTTTTAATTAACTTTAGATTGTTAGCCATTTGTGCGTGGAGTACAGAAACCCGGAAGCTCTATTATCACAAGCGTTATGTTAGGTGAACACTACATTACGAACTTCGAAGGTCCATATATTTATGTAACATTATATAGTTAACAATAGTATTATGTAATTGTTTGATATAAATTTAAGTAAGCGTAAAGTCACTTAACAATTTATATAAATTTATACAACTTTTTGTATAGTATTACTGAAGGTTCGTAGAATGCATAAATATTTGCAAGATAATATGTAAAGTCATATAAAATTATATAGATTGATGTAGCATTTTACCTAATAGTCTTGTAAAAAAAAGTTCGTGATGTAGAGATCATATTATAGTTTAAAATTTCTAAATCTAATATCTTAATTTAGGTACAATGCGGTAAATTCAGAAAACCAAAACACAGATAATAAAGAATTGAGTACTAAAGATAATGAAACTCTCCATGAGTATAAAAAATTTTTTTTCATTATATTTCCATGTTAAAATAAATATGTTTATTTCTAATTCAACAAGAAAACTTTAATGCAAAATACCCGCACGTAGATAAAACCCTTGAATCAGTATATGTTTCTTCAAATATTATCATTTTGACGAATGGCCTGATTTAAAGCTAGTATTGCAAGAATTAGGTGCTGTGAATCAAACCCATAACTACAAATTCAAGTACTGTACCTTACCTAAAATAAGCTATTCAGTTTACTGTCACATAATATTTCTCGTGTTGCCAAGTGAAAATAAGATGTCATGCTTCAAGTTTATTATTTATTATTTACAAGATTTAGCCCTTGAAAAACCTGATAGTAACATATATGATACGTATCACATAACATTCATGTTACAATCAGATCTTTCATAGACAGTATCTGGTAAATAATGAATAATAGATTTTGAAAGCCCACTTCTTTTGGTAGCACTCGTATCGATATTCGCATTAGTCAATAAGTATAAAAATCGTTAGTATTTGAAATTTATATATCGAATACTATAATTCAATTTATTAATACTTATTTCTCATTTCATCAAATTTGTGTTGATTTAAATAATAGGTTCATTTTTTTGGCATCTTTCTTGCTTGCATTTATTTAATGTCTTGGAATAAATAAAAAAAATAGAAAAATATTAATAAATTAAATAATAAAATAAATACTTAAATCTGATTGAGTAAAGCAAAGATCATTTATATTTATAAAGCTGCCTGATTCAACAATACATTCTAGGTTTCAAGCTATAGCTTGAAAATTCTAAATTTTAAACAAAAATTAAACTTCATCACGTTTTACAATATAGATTTTAATAATTATCCAATTTTTTGTATAACATTAAATCACAGATATAAATAGTGATTATCAACTAATTAAATTAGTTAATTTTTTTTATTTTTTTTTGTTTCAACGTGGTTCTAATATTTTTTTTTTTTTGTTAGTCTTAGATTGTTGTTATTATTGGAGCCGTTGCTTGAATTTGGTACTAGGTCAGTTACAGTCACTTTAGCTTTGTCATTTCAGCTTCATCGTTGGTGCCTTGTGAATTAACATTTCAGCTTCATTGTTGGTGTGTGTGTCATTGTTTCAGCTTCTCATCATTGCGTGCCTTGGTGAATTAACATTTCAGCTTCGTCGTTGGTGCCTTTGGGAGTTGTGTGTTGTTGTTTCAGCTTCTCATTGTTAGTGCCTTGGTGAATTAACATTTTGGCTTTGTCGTTGGTGCCTTGGGGTTGTCATTTCAGCTTCTCATCATTGATGTCTTGGTGAATTAACATTTCAGCTTTATTGTTGGTGCCTTGGAAAGTTGTGTATTGTTGTTTCAGCTTCTCGTCATTGGTGTCTTGGTGAATTGACATTTCAGCTTTGTCATTGGTGCCTTGGTGAATTGTATGTCATCATTTCAGCTTCTCGTCATTGGTGCCTTGGTAAATTAACATTTCGGCTTCGTCATTGGTGCTTTGGTAGTTGTGTATTGTCGTTTCAACTTCGTTATTGATATCTTGATGAATCCTTGTTTCAGCTTCGTCGTTGGTGTCTTGGTAAATTATTATTTGGCTTTGTTGTTTGTGCCTTGGTGAGTTTTATATCATTGTTTTGGTTTCTTGTCATTGAGTTGTGTATCATCATTGGTACTTTGGTAAACTGTATATCATCATTTCGGCTTTGTCGTTGATACCTTGGTAAGTTGTATATCGTCTTCTTGGCTTTGTCGTTGGTGCCTTGGTGAATTATATCATTTAAGTTTTGCTTCTTGTATGTTGGTTTTGGCTGATGAAGGCATTACAACAAGGCTGGTAGGTTAGGGCTTAAGAATTTAGAGTATTTTTCTTGTTTTCAAGGATGTTTATAAAAATTGAGGTGCTTGTTTTGAAATCTTCCTTGGCACAATTTCATATTATATCTTGTTATATTATTGGTTTTTTTTGTCTTGTGTTGTTATTAACTGTTGTGATTTTGTATTGGTGTAGTTCAAAATAGTTGTTAGAACCTGGGTTGACTTTAGGGTTAGGGCTAGGATTAGAATAATTTTAGTCTTTACAGTTAGAAGGACTATTAATTTAAAATCGTTCTATATAATATGTAAAATAAATAATAAATTTTTATATATATAAATATTACAGAACATAAGTGATATATTAATTGATTATGTTAATAAAGTAATACGTACATAAATATTACAGAACATATAGTGATATATTAATTGATCACGTTAATAAATAATGATCATGTGATATCATAGAGGTTCGCAAGTGTTAAATTACAATGCTCGGTATAATATTTCAGAATAATTTGCGTAATATTACATAATACATTGCACAATATTCTGGAATAAATTGCGCAATATTCCGGAATAAATTGCGTAATATTCCGTAATAAATTGTGCAATATTATGCCCAGACCATAATTCCTGCGCAATATTACAGGCCGTAAATTATAGTTATTGTATAGATATGTGTGTGTAAGTAATTACACACGGATTCATATTTAAATCATGTGGCCAAAGGCCACGTGGTTAAATATGAATCTGTGCATAATTACTTACACACACATATCCATATAATAACTATATTATCGTATGGGTCTGACGTAACAACCCGTGCGTCACCTAATAATTAAA